GGGGGAGGATATCGGGTAGACAACTTGGAGGAGGCGGAGGAGGTAGAGATGGTGTCAGGGGTGGGGAATCGAGCGGAGGCGAAGGTGGCAGGGATGATTGCCGTGTACCTGAAGCGGTCGAGGAGCGGGGACAGGAGGAAGAGGTGGGCCGGAGAGAGACTCTCGGCAGGGACAAAGGCGGCAGAGGTGGGGTAAGAGGCGAGGGGCATAACGGCAGTGGGGTAGGGGGGGACCGTGTGGCCGGGGAAGAGGCCGACTGTGCGGGGGGCGACATTTGGGCGGGCATCAGGGGGGATTGCACCTCTCTTGAAGGCTGGAAAGGCGGCCCATTGTGGACGTGGGCAGGCGTGACAGCTATCGGATTCAGCACTTCCATGGCATCCCGTGCCTGACCCGGCAGTGGTGTAGGAAAACAGTCTGCACCCCGGTAAGACCACCGGTCGTCCTGTGCGGCCCAGTTTTTTCCATGTCAGTTTCCCATTTTCATTCACCTCTCCCATCTTCAACTGGGGTCAAGCCACAACTCTCGGAAGGCGGACACAGCTTGCCTCCTATTGTGCTCATCTCGGGCCGCCGCCAATGCTTTCATGAGTTTTCTACTGGCTTTTGCTAAGTTGGCATGAATGACTTCTACCAGCTCAGCTTTGGCTTGACAAATGCCAAAGGCCGCCTCTTGCCGTTCTGTTGAACGTCTTACACGCCATATAACCATGAGCACTGCCATCCTCATGTGTTTAAACAGATTGCTCTGGAAGGATGTCCATGCAGAAGGGATATTCTCACTTTTCCCTAACAAAATGAGAGGAACATCCCAGTGGAAGACGACGCCTGTAAGCATRTGCCACATYGCATCCCACCATTGCCATACTCTTTTCGTCAGTGGACAGTCTAGAAGGCAGTGCTCGAGATCCGCCCTTCTTGGTTGGGCGCCGGGTCCACAATGAGCGCAGATGGGATATAAGACTCCCGCCTGCTCTAAGTTAGATCTCATTGTTAACCAGTCGGGCGTCGGRAGACAGCGATGGGTTATTTGCCATTGAAGGGCTCTGTGGGAGGTTGGCATAATGCGAGCATAGGTAGCCCATGGAATGTGACTCAGGTTTTCCTCAGATATCGGTGAATCTCTCTTCCACCCGTTCTGGACAATCACCGTGGAGGGGTGGAAGGCATGAACCCTTTTTTATCCCTCCTTGACTGAGTATTGCCATACCGGGACGGGGTTGCGGCCCTTCCATTCCCACTCTTGTGGGTCAAAAGGTAGATCGCCTATAGGGGTGGGCATCTCATATGAATAATATCCTGTGTCCTCAGATCCCACGACTCGAATTCTTATTAAACCACGCACCGGTGCTGCACAGTCCAGTTCCTGGTTCCCTTCGACCCATCCCTACCAACGACAACCAATGCATATGCCATAGTTGACTACGCAGCCCAATATTACCAAAAGGTATACACATCGGAATCAGGCCAATGGGGCGATGATCGCCTCGCACACGCGAGGCAGACGATGCTCCAGCGCTTGCCGGCGAAGCTCTCGACGACCGAACGAGACTCGATGGAGGCACCATTGACTACTGATGAGCTGCTGGAAGCCCTAAAGGGAATGGAAGACGAAAAGACCCCGGGCATCGACTCCTTTCCTAAGGAATTCTAGTTACAAAATTGGACAATCTTCCAAGACAGCCTGATGAACTATGTGCTAGCTGTGCAGATGGACGGGACCTTTGGAGGGATGATTAGTCAAGGGATCACTACACTGCTATACAAAAAAGGGGACAAGACGGATGTTAGGAAGTGTAGGCCTATCACGCTTCTTCCTTTGCCATACAAGATGGTCTCAAAAGCGCTGACCAATCGCCTACTCCCGTATATGTCTCACCTCATCTATCTCGACCAGACTGGGTTTATGCCACGTAGAAATATCCAAGACAACGTACTGCTTGTAAATGAAATAATCAAATACGCTAGGCAACATAAAAAGGATGCAGTTGTGTTGTTCACCGACTTCGAGAAAGCCTACTACCATGTAAACTGGGACTTCATGGACGATTGCCTGCAGAAAATGAACTTCGGTACCTCTTTTAGAGCATGGGTGTCCACTATGCATAGATCGGCAGAAACAAACATTATGGTTAATCGACACCTGTCCCAACCTTTTTCCCTCCAGCGCTCGGTGAGACAAGGCGACCCGGTGGCCCGTCTCCTCTTTGTACTGGTGATGAAAGCCCTAGCAGCAATGATCCGCTCCAACCCGGATATAGAACGTATTGACATCCCAGAACTTCCCCGCCACCTCATACCGGTGACGTCACTATTCGCTGATGACCTTACGGTCCTCATCCGGGCCTCCTCCTCCTCACTACAGGCGCTTACTGATACAATCCAACTTTTTGCAGTAGCAACAGACATGAGGGTAAATTGGGGGACAAAAACAGAGGGTTGGTGGCTGTCCTCGCCGGATACACAACCACCGCAAGACCCACTGGTCAATTTGCGTCAGAAGGAGGATGCAATAAGAATACTTGGGGTTCACCTTACAGCACTGGGGCCCCCATCTGATCTCGGCCAACTCCTGGTTCAAACAGCCTTACAACGACTGGCTAGGTGGAACGGCCTGCATACATCGCTTGTAGGAAGAGCTCTGGCAATAAACAATGCAGTACTGTCTACCATTTGGTATAAGACTGGCTTTTGGGAGATCCCAGAAAAACAACTTGCACTCCTACGTGCGGCACTGGCAGCCTACCTCTGGAGGAATGACCATGAGCTCACCCGCTGTATTAAAAGGGTTGCATGGAAATATGTCACACAACCAAAGAAGGTGGGAGGATTGGGCATCTTAGACCTGGGGGATGAGATTAGATCCCTAATGTTCAAAGTGGTCATACGCCTCCTGCTAGCAAATGGCGTGCCATGGCTGCACCTAGCACACATACAACTCGCGCACCTGGCCCCTCTATCCCACCCTGATCGCCCGGTTCATCCTCTCTGCTGGCTCACCAACACCGCCTGGTCCGTTCCGAATCCACCACGTCACAAAAGGGATGGGTCGCATCGAAACAATGTAAGATGGGACTTGAAAAACGACCCTCTTTGGCCAACAATGCTGGAGCTGTGGAGAAATATGGGACCAACCAAGAAGTTCCCCCCGCTTAGGTGGCATGAAATTTGGCGCCAACCACTATTTGGGAACCCGTTCATCCTCGACAGTAATGGGAGACCCTTCTCCCTCACCATA